TATTATGCTGCGTTCAGGGACACCCGAAAATGCAGGGATTCTCTGAATCATTCCGGGTTTATTTAGCTCCGTCTGATGAGGATGAGTCTTTATTTATAGCTTCCCATCATGCCTCAGTGAGCGAGTTGGCCAACAGACCGTTACGTAACCGTGAGCAGAGCGTCGTCCTGCAGAGAAACTCCTAACGAGCTCAGCCGATTTATATTCAAGCTGAACTAAGAGGACACTCTGCTGCCCCCTGCTGGCAGAAACCAGGACTATTTCTGTTAAGATAAACATCTGCAGATATAACAGAGGCGGCAGCTACTTTTGTTCAATCAATAAAAAAACTTTCCAGTCGGTGACCTGGGCATGAAATTAGCTCTTTATGATGAATAAAATTCTGTTATAATTTCAGTTTATATTCCTGATTCATCACAAGATCCAGTCAGATCAAATGTGGGTGAATTTGATAATCCACATCCTGAAAATGTTCAGGCATAATGGAGGCTTCGCTGCCCGACAGAAACCATCTTATTTCCTTGGAAACCAATAAAAGTACGTTTGGAAACTTTGTTACCAGAAACAAGCATAAAAAATACACAAGTTATTCATTTTTGATAGTTTAAGCATTCGGTAGACCAGCAGCATTCGTAGATATTAACAAATATGAATGTGGAGCTATATTGTGATTAAAAGTTTGTTTAAAATGAAACTAATTTGAAACTGAAAAACAAAATTTAACTGACAAAACGCATTGATTCTGAGAAATGTTTTGAACCTTTTTTTTTTAAATGTAATGTGCTTTTCTTTATTTTTTTTCTTAATAAACTTTATGGCCCTAATTCAGCTCCATACAATGAAGTTTCCAAAAAAAGAAGTGAAACTGATAAATGTTTGAAACGGTTTTTAAGTTTCAGGTTTTTGTTTTTTTTTTGTTTTTTTTTTACAAACCTTTCAGCCCTAATTTAGCTCCTTATGATGAAGTTTGCAAAAATGTAACTTAATGAAAACATAATTGACCTTGAAAGTCACTTTTTTAGTTTTTTTTTTTTTTACAAATTTTGTGGCCCTAATTTAGCTCCATACAATAAGGTTTGGTGAGAAAAAAAAACACTGAACCTGAGAAGTGATTTCAAACTTTTTTTCAACAGTTATGGCCCTAATTCAGCTCCATACACAAATAAAACCATAAGACGACATTTCTAAAGAAGCTGACTGTGCAAACATATTAATAGAACCATAATATAAAGCTTAGTGGAAGGAAAAACTGTTCTGCATTTCAGTTGGAAATCAAAATATCAGAGTCTAGAGAACCAGAATTATTTGATGTTTCTTTAGAATACAAAATGGCAGCAGCGTTGACATGCGACCCAAATACTCAACCGTCTGACTGCAGCCACTCGGTGGCACCACGCCGCCAACCGGTCGGTTCTGACCCGGTTTCTCTCTGCCTGCAGCTCTGGACTCTCTGGAAGGAGACCTGAAGGGGAAATACTACGCCCTGAAGAACATGACTGAGGAGGAGCAACAGCAGCTGATCGATGACCACTTCCTGTTTGACAAGCCAGTTTCTCCTCTGCTGCTGGCGTCTGGGATGGCGCGCGACTGGCCCGACGCACGCGGCATCTGGTCAGTATGTCCCAACACACTCAGCTATTAGCACTTTAGCTCAGCCGTTAGCACGTTAGCTCAGCCGTTAGCACGTTAGCTCAGCTATTAGCACATTAGCTCAGCTATTAGCACACTTCCACTAATGTGCTAATTGCTGAAGTAATCTTTTGATTAGTGTTTGTGCTAACTCTGAAAACATTCAGGGCACTTAGCTTCCCCTAAATTTTCTGGATAAAATGTGAAGCCCCAAATTATCTTGCTGCATTTTTTAGCACACTTCTACTAATGTGCTAGTAATTATGCAAACTCGTTGTGTAGTGGTTCAGCATTTTTGCTAACTTTTAAATTGTTAAGCACACTTTGCTTTCCCTAATGTTTTCTGGATAAACTCTAAAGGCACACTTCCACAAGTCTGCTAGCAGAGCTGATTTTTCATTTAGCTCTTTAGTATTTTTGATGACTTTGAAAACATTAACTTTGAAAAAAATTAAGCGCATTTGGCTTCTCCTAAATTATTTTTCCTGGAATTCAAAAGCAGAGCTAATTTTTCATTTTTTACTTTCACATTTTTGCTAACCATGAAGACATTTGTGACACTTAGCTTCCTCTAAATCTTTCTGGATAAATTCATACATTCTAACTTACTTGGCTGCAACTGTGGGTACATTTCCGCTAATGAGCTAATAGCTATCGGTAGCTGATTTTGAAACGTTTAGGGCCTTTAGCTTCCCATAAGTAAATTTTTCTGGATAAATTCTGGACTGTTAATTTACATTACATTACATTACGCTGCCATGGGTAACTGCCAATATGGCCGCCACTCCATCTTTATCTGACCCAAACATTGTCCATCACCTGCAGGCACAACGACAACAAGACCTTCCTGGTGTGGGTGAACGAGGAGGATCACCTGCGTGTCATCAGCATGCAGAAGGGGGGCAACATGCGCGAGGTTTTCACACGCTTCTGCACCGGGCTCACCAAAGTAAGCTCTGCACCCCCATCCAGACCTGTACCCCTCACCTGTCCCGCCCATCTCACCTGTTAGCTCTGTCTCCTCCAGATCGAAGACCTGTTTAAGAACCGAGGACACGAGTTCATGTGGAACGAGCACCTGGGCTACGTCCTCACCTGCCCGTCCAACCTGGGGACGGGGCTGAGGGCCGGCGTTCACGTCAAGCTGCCAAACGTCAGCAAGCACGAGAAGTTCGGAGAAATCCTGAAGAGGCTGCGGCTGCAGAAGCGAGGAACAGGTACGACTTAAGCTTCATGAATTTACATTGAAAACAAACTCAGGCTGACGACTTTGTAGCATTTGTATTCTGTGCGGTTAGACTGTAGGGGGCAGTGTAGAGTGCCATTAGCATACAGGATGTCATTTGTAAAGTTATTTACAACTTTAAGTTAAAAATGGTGGTTCTTTTTTCAGTTCTGTTTTCACCATAATATTCATTCTTTATATCAGTGAAGCTCAATATTTAGTTAACCAGCTAAATATGTAGTTTGCTTACTAATCTTAGTTTGGTAACAAAATATTTAGTTCAGTGCTAATTATTTTGCTTACAAGCTAAATGGATTTAGCTTGCTAGCTAATTATTTAGTCTCAAACTAATTATTTAGCTGCCATGCTAAATATAATAATTTAAATATTTAGCTTGATTAGTGGAAGTGTGCCCACCACTGCAGTCAAGTCAATTATCAGCTTAGAATTTATCTGGAAATTATATTTAGCAGAAGAAAAGAGCGCTAAACGTTTTCCAAGTTGACTAAAGCGCTAATTGTAAAATTAGCTCTGCTAGTAGTTTAGTGGAAGTACCAATTAAATAAGTGCTTTAGAATTCATCTGGAAAATTCATTTAGGAAGAAGAGCGGAAAACTTTTTCAAAGTTGGCTAAATGCTAAGCTATTTTCTCAGTTTTTAGCATGCTAAGTGTGCGTACCACTGACTTCCTGTCTGCGTCTCAGGCGGCGTGGACACCGCGGCGGTGGGCGGAGTCTTTGACATCTCCAACGCGGACCGCCTGGGCTTCTCGGAGGTGGAGCTGGTCCAGATGGTGGTGGACGGCGTCAACCTGCTGGTCAACATGGAGAAGCGCCTGGAGGCCGGCGAGGCCATCGACGACTTGATGCCAGAGCAGAAGTGAACTGTCTCACTGTAACCCGACACCGCCGTCCTCCCTCCTCTTCCTCACTGCCCCTGCTCACCCCCGTCCTCCTCCTCTTCCTCACTGTAACCAGTCCGTCCTGACGCTGCGGGACGCGTAGAGCCGCTCGGTTAGACTGCAGTCTTCCAACATGTGAAGGATTTTCTATTTCCTTATCTGCACCTGTTGGATCCATCTAACATCTGAAATATCTAATAAAGTCTCTGTGGCCCAGACAGCGCCTGTCTTCATTTACAAACATGGATTTAATCAAATTTACGCTTGTTTCTGCATAGAACACTGTGGACTTTGACTAGGCCGTTGCAACACCTGGATTTTGGCTTCTAGACTCGTGTTTTGGTCTGCAAGACACGGAACTTTTTTTTTTTTTAACAGAAAAACACTATTTAAATTTTTTGCAATCATAAATGTGGCCTAATAATCACTCAAAATGAGTTAAAACCATAAGTTTACATACCTTATTTTGACTGTCTGAAGTTTAATCAAACCATATTTCTCTTCTTTTGGGTCAAATAAGAATATTTCTATTTGCTAAAACAATGAACTACTGAGAGGCTTGTGAAAGGAAACGCAACCAAATACTGGGATTTATGTAAACTTATGATCCTCTCTGACTTTGTTTCTCATTATTGAAGTTTTTAGCAAATAGAAATAATTTTGTTTAATTTGACCTGAAGTGAGAAGCTTGGTGTGATTTAACATCAGAGAGGAAAAGGTGTATGTAAACTTCTGGTTTCAGTTGGACAGATTAGCCTCCAGCACGTTTAGCATCAGGATTTAAAACCTGTATGAAAATTATGAACAGGAAGTAAAAGCAGATATTTCCATTCTGACGTCCCTCCATTAAAACCCCGGAGGTTTGTCTCTGCTGCCACCTGGTGGTCAATCAGCGTCACCGCAGCAACTAAACTGAATCTCTTCCATTTTATTCAACTGATTTTAGTTTTATAATCAATAAACTGAAGTAAACTTTATCAACACTTCAACTAATTTGAATAAAAACATTTTATCCTCTTACCTCCACTTTGATATTTACCTATTTTTGCCTTATTCCAACCATAAATCGCATTTTATTGTAATTTTATATCTTAAACCAACAAAAAAGTTGAACATATTTCACACTTTCGTGGAAACTGAAGAGTTTGCAGCTGAAACTGAATCGAAACGCAGTCTGGAGGTCTGGTGAACTCAGGACGGTTTGGCGCTAGCTTCCCTCTGGTCACCATGACGACAGGACGCGGAGATGCGTTCAACGTGTTTAATGAGACACAGGTGAGCCTGAGCTGCAGTCGGATCAGCTGACTGCTCACATGTACAAAATCAACAAGGTGAGAAACTATTTACATTCACAAAAACACAGAGAGACTCTCTGAAGAGGAAACGCTAACAGCCGGACTCAGAGTCCCAGAATGCTGTGCAGCAAAGTCCGCTCGTCCCCGCCTACAGCGTCGAGCCGGAACCAATCAGCAGACAGCTCAGAGTCATCCTGCTGGGAGAAACAGGAAGATGGCAGTCGGGTCACTTCCTTCTGTTCATCGCTTCCTCTCCCCGTCTGTCCACATGAACCACTTCCTGTTTCCTCCTGTCCCTACGTGGCCCTGTTCCTCCCAGTCCTCTCAGCCCCTCTATAGTTTGAGCTCGTTGGCGATTTTGGAGGCGATGTTCTTGAAAGCGATGGACGTTCCTGAAATGCGTTTGAAGCGGACGCCGTTGAGTGAGAGGCGGGGCAGCTTGCAGACCTCCATCTCCCATTGGACGAGGCTGTCGGCGTGCCCGTCGCCGTGGACGCAGAGCAGCAGGAAGGCCTCGCGCTGCTCATAGTCGCAGTTGTTGGCGTCCAGGACCTTCCTGATCTCGCGCATCATGTCCGCCGGCTCCATGGACGACGTGGTCTTCATGCTCCAGGTGAACCTCAGTGAGCGCGGCTTGGCGTCCTTGGAGTGCGGCGCGGCGGGGGACGGCGGCTCCTCCCTCTGGTCGGACGTGACGGCGCGGCTGGAGGGAGGAGAAGAAGACGTTAACTTCCTCCAGACGCTGCGCTCCGATTGGCCGTCTCGCTCTACCCACCTGGACCCCTCCAGTCTGCCGTTCCTCTCCGCCTCCGACGGCGCTCTGCCAGCCGAGAGGAGGGGAAGAAGAAGCAGAGCGTAAATCACAGGAAAAACCTGCACAACAGCTAGCAGCAACAGGAAGTGATGCGTCCTGACTTCCTGTCTGCTTAGGGGCCGGACCAGCAGCAGGTCCAAAGCTCGGTGGTAAAAATAAAAACTGGTTGGCGATTTATGAAGCTACTGGAAAGTTTTCACATAAGATCCTGAGACAATCAGTTCAAAACATTTTATATAAAATGCAGATAAATGTTTTAATATCAACCTGATGAATGTAGAAGATTTTATTATTTTTATAAATGTACTAATATTTATTTCTTAAACCGAGTTATTTATTTATTATTTTCTATCAACAGACGGGAACAAAAAGCTGAACGTCCTGAGATAAAATCCTTCTGCTGCTGTGTTGCATCATGGGATTCGTAGTTTTATCCGAGTCTTTCAGTCGGATCAGAACGAAACATTCAGCGAAGGAAAGAAGGAAGGAAGATAATCTAAAGAGTGAAACGAGGAAGGAAGTATTTAGCGTCACAGCTAAATAGCTACTGAAGCAGTGTTGAGAAGTTCAGTGGAAGGACGACGTTCGGTGCATACCTCCTGGTGAGCTTGGAGGTGAGTTTGGAGAACAGGTTGGACGATGCGCGGCTGCGGGCCTGGGCCAGCGGCGTGGCGTCGTGCGACAGG